ACTTTCCCCTACTGTATACCTTTAAACTTATGCAAAATTGCTAACACACAAAGTAAAATCTGTATACATTTCTGAACCACTGCAAACCTGTTTCTAAGTTCAAAAATATTTGACCCTGAGATACCTTGACATAAAGCCTCACTAGGAAATTCTAATTGTGCTTTGAGTTCACAGATGTGGGTAAGCCACTTCTCATTAAACTTTCTAGAACTCCATGAACTCCTTTGACATGCATTTTCAAATGTAAATATAAACATTTGTGAATAGCTTGTGAAACTGCTTCATTCTCCTCCAGAGAAGAACAAGGATCAACCACAAAAGGAAGCAGCCAATTGGTTTTTGTCTTGTATGGTATATGCTTAATCCCACACAAACTAGTAGAATCTACTGTAATTAATCACTCTGTGACTTTGGGTTCTTTCACTCAGTAGAAAAACATCAGGACTTCACTATTAATGACATTTTTAGATAACATGGGTGAAGGAAGAGGGAACAGTGACAAAAAATCCCAAGGAAGTGTTGAGTATCTTTTTATTGAAAGACAACAAATACAAGTGAGCCATTAATAGTGGCAAAGATACAGGGGTGGGGGGCAGATCTACCAGTCAGCCTTTTCCTGTTTTATTCATTCTTAAGCAAAAAAGTCTTACCCTCTGTCTAGTTTTTGCCTTTATTAATATAATCAGACAACAGGCATTGCATATATGCACTTTCAGATTGCCACCTCAGTTGTTATTTCAGTTCTGACACACTGACAACCAACCCTAGCACTTACAAAGGTGGAATTTTCTGGTCTGCAAGTAGACAAAACAGATGCTCTAGGCCAGAGATACTCAATCTGTGGCCCACATGGAAAATTCATCCTACCTGCAATCTACTATCAGCTTTTTACCAGTAAGAAGTTGCCTATTGAGATACATGATGACAGTGCAATATTGAGTGTATCAAAACCACAGAAAAGGTCCAGCCATGTTATCACATCCTTCTTGCCTTAAAAACAAGCTACCTGCTCGACTCAACCGAAGTGCTGGATCTATTTCCAAGCCGAGTATCTGTAGTAAATGCCAATTTGTAGCATGAACTTCTACCAAATATTAAACTCTAATATAGGAAGACTTGATAAGTAGAGAAGCACAGCTTTTAAACCTATCAGCTAAATTTAACAGGCACCTGTAACAGCACAGAAAAGTGTATGCAACTCGAACACGTAAATTACTGTTCTCCTATCAGGTGGTCCAGATAGATTACCGGTAAGAACTACAAATGACCTGTGAAAACTTCCAGACTTATCCAACACACAGAGTTCTGAGATAATCTGCAAAGTACAGTATGTATCAGGAAGCAATACAGACACATTACAGTGGACAACAGACATACAGAATCATCATGTTTTGTTCAGATGATTATTTTTCTAAATTAGGACAGTCCAGTCTTACCAACCATAGAGCTCACTCCTTTTTGTAGGAGCCTCCTCACATGTCACTCTAAGCTTGCCGTCTGCTTTCTAAGTGAACAACCATATGAAAGCAGAGAAGTCTCTTGTCTTTGGGGAAGAAAAAATGGTAGGTCAGATGGAATTATGCTTCAGGCTGAATATAATACTTCATAGGCTGTGAGACTAAACTAACCTAAAGTAGTGATTTAACAGACACGGATATGAACACAGCTGTTTTACTTAAAGTCAGCAACAATCCTTAAAAACTACTTGTATAAATATTTGTGTAATTAATCCAACCTTAAAACCATTCAGACCTTTTTACTTATACAGCACAGTAAAATTTCCAGTATACAAGAAGCGCTGCATGATCAAACTTCAATCCCATTTCAAGCACAATTCAGACTCGGATATCCTGTAGGATTAGTTTTAATCTACATTTTTTCACTTATTCCAACATCAAAACAGTCAGTTCTCTTAATCTGTTTGCTCGTTTTCTTCCTGTACCTGTCACTGTGCTCTGCACTTACTGAACAGTTAAAGTTATCTTTTTTTTTTTTATTATTAGTCAGAAAGATAGCAAGTCTACCAGAACACACATACATGCATATTAAGGCTTATATTAGTATACCTAGAAAAGTGTGTTTTAATCACTCATCATTTATATAGATCATAACCTTAAACAAGCAAATATTAATCTTTTAAAGAGTAGTTTTCTCATTATTATGCTCTCTTTGTACTCTCTTACTCCCACCACACTCTCTGGGGTACATATTCTGAAATTTCACGCATACCATAAAGTATCTTTGGAATGTTACAGTATAATTGTTTAGAGAAACATTTAATGGATGAGTAAGCATCAAGAGGCCATAGCTAAGGGAAAAGAAAAGTTAAAATGCTAGAAGCATTTTGTATTGAATGATCTTCTCAGCATGAGGACAGGGGATGGACATTTGATCCAAAAATCTGGTATTGACTCAAGTGATATAAAACCAGCAGCCAGCATCAAGGCATATGAAGCCATCCAACCACCTAACAAAACATCTGCTACCACCCACTTCTTTCAAACTGGACTTTAGTCACTGTCTAGTAAAGCAATCAAATGCTATAGGACATTATGTGATCAATAACATAAATATGATGATAGGGGATTACATGATCTTGACAACTGCCGATTTTTATTTAATTGGTTGCTTGTTTCCCAATTTACAGCACAAATAATTTGCATGTGCACGATACAGAAATGCAACAGAAGTAACTAGAAAAAAGCTGGGCACTAAGTACAGAGACAGCTAAAAAAAGCTGAACATTCTTTCACTACAGGAAACTGCTGGAGACAATATGCTGTAAATTAAAGCCAATTTTCCTGAATTCCCTGAAGGACTGCTCCTCGCAGAGATTCCACAAATCCATTACCAAAGGCCCATCGTTATAGTTTTCTTGGGGCTTATTTACTGAAGAGAGTTTAAAAAAGCACACCCAAAATAAAACGTACGGTGTATCGGGAGCAGAGGAGCGGGACAAAGGAGGCCTAACCTTACATAATTGATTCATATCCTGATTATTAAAGAACAGCTGAGATGGTTTTTACTCCCAATTCCTCCTCCTCCCCATCCTTTTTTAAGTCAAGGAAAAGGAAAAGCAAAATAATTACCTCCCTACCTGAATTTCTAATCAGAAGAATGCATACTGAGGCAGAAGAGGTGACATATGCTGACATGCACCGCTCTGGAAATCAAGCAGTTCCTTTATCACCAGAGTTAGAAAAGCCAAGCTTCCTACAGATGTGTGCCACAGATGAAGCTTGTCTTATGATTGGGCACCTAAAAATCTCTGATCAAGTGGATTCTGTGGTGCTTAACAACATATGAATTGCAGCTGGTGCTGTACAAGCTCTCCCAGCTTCATACTTCCACAGAATTTTCAGAAATCTAGTGTCTTTGAGGAACTTCTATTTCTGCGTTAAATTTGGTGGAGTAAAAAGTAAGGAGTTAAAAAAATTAATTAGGAAAAAATAGTGTGATTCTATAAATCTCATCTTCTTGATAAACTCATGGACAAGTAGCACAAGTTCTGCTATGCAGCCTTCTGGTTCCCAACCCAATATATTTTCCAGAATTACTCATCTATTTGTAAAATGTGTGACTAAATCATATGTAAAAATAATGGATTGCACATGCTGCTTGATTAAGGCTTTAAGAGATACTTGTAGGCACATAAAATTGCAAGGGACTTCCCAGGTCACTGTATTTTCATCCTACTATCAGAAACACTGTATTTAATAATCTCTTCCAGAAGACACACATCCCCACATCTCAAAATGAGTTTTCTTCTTGTATACCTCCCCTTACATAATCTCAAAATTAGGATATTTCTTCTAATTTCCACCTTAATTCCATTCAGTGGCCACTTAGATGAAACACTTCAGATTCTGTAGGACAAGTTTTTACATCCTCAAGTTTTTCTTTCTCTTCAGTAACACAGTGATCCAGATGTTGCTGTCAGACAAGTTCACTGGTTTAAATCTATAATTTTTTTCTAATGCTATATTCAAAGGCGAATCCAAATATTCCATGGCTAACTTTTTCTGTTACCACTTTCACTTGGTGAATTATAGGGAAACATAATACTACTGCTGATTTTAAAACAAGGTCTATAGATTACTTCTGTTACAGGCTCTAGTATGGTCATTGTAAGTATGTCTTTGAGGGTTAGGGTAATGGGGAAAAACACAACACAGTTTACAATGAAGTCTAATAAACATGGGCATGTTAATCTTTTTCAGCCACTTAAATCCAGGAAAATCAAAAGCAAATGTCTTCCTACCATAGCATCACAAAACGCAACCCCAAACACTTGCATTTTAATGCCTTCTGAGATGTTTTCTGCTAGCCATCCATTAGATTTCTTATAATACTCAGTATACACATTTCTCCACAAGCTAGACTGATTTCTTCCACAGTTTAACTTGTTTTTGCCAAAGTCTCTTTTAGTTCAGCACTGGCTGCCTGCCTAACGAAACAACCTTTCTTTATGCCAAAACTGTCATCTTCAGTTGCACAAGACGCATCTTACTTACAAGCATGTATAATGAGTCCAATGTTTAATGCCTGAAGAACTGCTATTTCAAAATGATCTCCAGTAAAACTTAAACAGATACAGAAGCAGTCAGTACCTAACCTTGGGGCAGAGGGGGAATCGTTCTCAAGAACGAATTTTTTTTTTCCCCTTTTGCATTCAAATACATCTTTTAAAAAGAAAACCCTAAACTAATTATTAGAACATGAAAGCATATTCCTTTAACCACAGATAGCAGTGAGAAATGCAAGGCTCACTCCAAACCCAAAGTTGAAAGCTTCACTCTCACTCAGTGTGAACTCATCATTACATAATGATCCCATTCACCATAAACTTGTCTCTTATTGAAAAGACTAGCCTTTAAATCTAAGAATCTGATAACCTTAGTAAGTTATCAAGTATTGCTAATGACTGAAAAAATCCATCTAAATAAACCTCTTGCTCTATTTTTCTGCTGTAATTTCAGTCGCAGCTGAAACAAGAATACCTGTGTAAGAAGTTGTCCTTCAGTCAGATTATTGATCCAACGAGTATACCGTTCAGTAGACTCCAGTGGCTCTCTTCTGACTTGGCAACCAATAATCTAAAGCAAAATGAGATAAATCACATAGTGTAAACTGTTGTACACCCACGTGGCAACAAAACAAGATTATAAAATAAGCATCCAAAACATGGGAACTCCAAGAACTAAGATTATCTATACAGTCCTTATTAGCCCCTTTCTATGTTCATAATACAATGTAATATAACATGTCACAGTTGCTCTGCTCAAGTGTTAAATAGTTACAGACTTTCAAAGGTCTCTCAAAAAACTAACATTGAGAAGTATCTTTCCAATAGCTTCAGTCTTGGGAATATTTGAACCATTTTGGTTGAAATTTTCAAAAGAAAGTCATCCAAAGGCAGACATCTAGAATGCAAAATTTCTACCAAAATAGTTAAAAGTTTGGCAAATGAAAATTAGAACTCGGATAACATCAGACAATCATACCTACAGTACCATAACCTGTAACACCACACATTACTTAGAAGTCACATAAAGTAAGGAAAGGGGGGGAAAAAAGAAAAAAAAAAAAAAAAGAAAAAATCTGTATTCCGATTTATCTCATTCATGCTAGAACAATGTAGACACCCCATTTTGAGTTGTTCACTGAAGTATTATATACCCATTCGAGCAACATTTTCTTCTCTCACACTGTTCTGTAGCTGTACGGGACAAATATGAATTTTAATATTCTGAACACCTGCTTGTATAATAAATAGCTTCCAATATGCATAAAACAGAATATTAGAGAGCTTTCATATTATCTGTAACTGCATAGAAACATATTAATGCAATTTCATAAAAGCACTAAAGTCTTTAACTCTACAAATCTTTTAAACTGAGTATCAATTAGGATATCGAGCTCATAGATACGTTTTTAAAGGGGGCACTCCACAGTTATAAAAACTTCACAGAAGTTGCGTCAGATGTACATATATTCTGTTCTGTGAGGATGACTTTTATTTAAGAATAGAAATATATACAGAAGTCTTGCTAGTGTTCATTACCCAAGACCTCATTAACCTTCTCTTACACATCCTATAACGCATAAATCTTTGTAACTCACAAAGATACTTTACAAAACTACGCATAAAAGCCAGGATGGAAAAATTACAAAGTACTTTTTTGTCCAAAGGTATTCTATAACAATACAATACGGAAACTTGGTTTCTTTATTCAAATAGTCACAGCCTAAGCTGAACAAATACAGAATCACAACCAGCTTTCGTGATAAAAAGGAGAATCTCAAATTTGTTTTTCTGAAAACCTTGTTTTCAGTTAGAGCCAATTAGTAAGTGCAGTCATCTCTTTCTATGCAACTTGAAATTTAAATGAGAAGCAGAGGACAGAGTTTCATATTTTTATACTAATTTCTGACCAGTCTGACCATTTTTATAAATGTTGTTGATAGTTTAAGGAATCTAAAGAAAAATGTTGAATCCAGCTGCTCAGCTAACGGACGGTAATTCCCTAAAGTCCAAAGAACAACTGGTTCAAATCTCAACTCCTTATGCTTCCAGAGAAAACTGAATGGGTTTGATCAATTATCTCTACATACACTCAAGAAGAGGTGAAGGCAGACAGAATAACTGTGGTTAAATTGGGTCCTGACAGCTCTTTTCTGTATCATACATCACTTTTTGTAATTTCTAGAGTTTGACTTAGATTCTGAGCCAAAATTTCCTCCTCTTCCCACATAGCCATATACATAATTCCATTGCACACTCCAATTTACTTCTTTGAATTCTGGCTTGTAACAATGATTCCGTACTTACTGTACGTAGGTCTTAAAATGCTTTGAGCCTTCTGGAATTTAAAATACCGTAAGTAGGAAAAAATGCTCATCAAATAAAAAAAGTTATTTATGAATTACTGTTATTGCAGTGATGTAAGTCCAGAACAGAAAAAACAATGGACTTCATTGAATTTCGCCGTAATCTGGGGCAGAATCCTTGCAAGTGTAACTTTCCAAACTCCTTCATCAACTGACATTCCTAACAGTAAGACAGAGTGAGAGTGTAACAGTCTAGAGCCTTACACACAAACATACTAACCAAGTAAAAAACAAACTAGGTTTTTAAAAAAATGTAACTTAGAAAAATAAAATTTCTGAGACTCCGCATGCTTATTAACAACCTCATCTCTTGATATTTAGTATATCACACCTTCTCCCTCATACCTTTGGCTTTTCTTACTCTTTTCTAGTTTGAGCTGTAGCAGACAGGCATTAATGATGAATTAAATAGCTCCAATGAAGTTAATATTAAGATGAGGTTAAAATTTCACTCTAATTTCTTCTTCCATACACACTGAATAGGATCATTATCTAGACAATACAATATGATAATACATACTTAGCAACCCTATACTTATTTCATATATGGAATTCAAGAAAGAGAGAAAAAGAGGGATTAATATACTCAAAACTGTATTAAAATGTCTTCCATACTAGCGGCTTTAAGTTTGCTTTTTCTTAAAATTTCTAAACGTGCTCTCTACACATGCAACTGAAGTATTTATTTCCAGAAGGATTTCTAATTATTCCTAAAATATATTCTTTCACAAGCAAATTGAACTGCTGTCTTCACTCCTCCTCCTCATCCAAAAAAACAAACCCACAACAACCTGATAATTCCTCTCTTTAAAAGCAAAGGAACAAAAAAGACATAGTTGGTGTTCTTACTAGCTTTTCCTAAGATTTCCATGCATGTACCAAACCTATCAGCAGGGCACATAAAAGCAAGGACCTCCCTCCTGCAGAAGATGGTATTGTAAAACCTCATTTAACCACATTCTTTAGTTATAATGATATCACAGCAAAATACACCTAACAGTATAAATGCATGTTATTGAGAACAGCTGCGTTTTGATCTTGCAACGTAGCAGGAAAAGAACTACAAATGCATAACAAAGTTAACATTTTGTAAGAAGTGAAATGTCCACACTTCCCTCTACCCTAACATAACAGTGAAATGTTTTGCACTGCACACAGACTTCCTGATTTCTTTTCATTTTCAGAACCAATACCACGCAACACTGCTTTTAGCATCATCTTAAGAGATATGTTTTACAGACAAATCTTAAAATTGCCACTACGCAAACTTATTTCTAGATTCTCAGCCAAAAAAATTCCACACCTTTCTGCTTGTTAGCTGTACTATTCCTCTCCCAATGGGACTCTGACTCATTACTGGGATTCTTGACTTACATGGTTGCAAAATAATGATCACCAACAGAGTAACTCAATCTGAGCTTTTGATATAGCTTCTGTAAAGCATAGCTCATTTAACCACCTTCTTTCATCCAATCAAAATCAGGATTATTTAGAATACAAATGGCTTCCTCTAGTTCCCCTGTGTAAGGTGTGGCATCAGAAGCAACCACACAGTTTCCCATTTCCTCCGTGTCTCACAGAGCTTTTATAGTCACTTCACTGAATATTTCCTTATAGCTTTTAAACTGAAGTGAAAGGTTTTTCACTGTTGCTTCTTTCTTAAGTTTTAAAATACTTTGAGAAAAATCTTTCTGGCCCACTTTACATCCATTCAGACTTCCAGAATTATACAAGAAACTCTCTGTATTAGAAATATTCTTCTCAATATTTCGAATATCCCTTTCTATGCAAAAATTGAGTTCGTCCAAGTTTTTATCTAATTAGGCAAGTTTATTTTTATTATCACAAATGTTAACTATATACTGGCATATACCTGTACCTAGATCAAACTATGTAATACATACAACAAATGCAATAGGCTTCATATTCCAGCTGGAGACTTACTGTAATACAGTATTAGTATTACTTGTATAGGAAGCAGTAACATGAACCATAAACAAAAAATTTGTTTGGCTCATAGCAAAGGACTATGGCATGGAAGAGCAAAACTCTAATCAGGAGAAAAAATCATCAAAATCCTTTCTGCTACAACATCAGATGAGATAATTTGCTTTCTAGGCAGACAATTACTTTTTTATGTATTAAATAGAACTTACAGCTTATTTAGCTATTTACTTAATTGCAATCAGCATTGGCCTCTCTGGAAAGAAATATAAAATAATTTATAATTTATGGCAGCAAGAGACAGTGACAGGTAAGAATACTAAAAGCATAAAATAGTGGTCTGGTTTTATCTTAACTACCAACAAATACATACGCTGAAAAGCCATACAAGTAACTTTTAAAAACATAAATGGCTTAAAAAGAGGAGTGGCGTTAATGAATTGTATCTAAATAAGATTATCAGAATGAAAGTCATGGATACGTACTTTATGCCACTACATTTAAAATATTTTTAGGAGTTAGAGTACTATAAAACTAATACAATAGAACCATGATACAATTAAAACAGTACAAATAACAATACAGAACTAGAATAATGGGGTTCTCCATGAAACAGATGTTCTAAATCGGTCACAATACACTGGGTGAGCCATGAAATACAAATCTAATGAGCACATTCAACAACTTGTTGATCAATACAAAGTTCAGAGTTACGATCATGTTCAGAGGAACTAGGCAGGATTATTAAACACATTACAAAATTGTACTATGAACACATATAGTCACTGTTCTGTGAGTTACAAAATTGTTCCACTGAAATACAAGAGTATTTCAGTCATATATATGATACATACAAAAATCAGCATTCTATACCCAGCAGCAACATCAGTCATCCACTTATATGTCATAACCTGTTCCAACTTTTCACTAGTGTTTGTTTTTAAACGCAATATTCAGGTAGAGATGTTTCTTATTTTCATCATTCTAGGTTTTTATGTTTTCCCTTGCACATATAAATGGAAAAGGAAGTGGGTGAGAGGAAGCAAAGATTAAATGAGTTGACAGTAATTAAAAACAACACACTTTCTGCAGATGTGGCAGTTTTGGGTTTTTTAATCACTACAACTTCCCCTAGCACAAAGAATCTTTCTTATTTAGGAGACAGCCTATGGGTCAGAAACCTCCTGTTGTACTAAAAAGGAAATGAGGATGAAAAATCAATTGGTCTCCAATTTTATCCCATTTCTTTCCATCCTAGTTT